GGGGATGTACCATCACCGTCCCCATTGGCGTCTTAGACGCGGCATTGTGGAAACTTCATCACAGAACCTCCACGCATGGGCCTTTTAATTATGTGATATATCCCCTGATGTACGTATCGTCTATGGCCGTTACGTTGGTGGTGGTAGTCAAGATAGACGATGATCAGTAGGTCACAATAGAGCCATTCTAAGATTGATGCAAGAGTCAGACAACTAGTCGTAGTCTAATTCTGTCAAGGCTCTCTTCAGGGTCAGAGGCAATCCCACTAGTTAAGTGCATTGACCTGTGATGACTCTTTAAATTACAGGTAGATAAACAGAATGGTCATCTCCAAATGAAGTGCCAGGGCAAGCGTGAAGGAATTACTCCTAATCTGGACTTGGTGTATGTACAGCTTGACTTCCATACAATAATCACTTAGAGTAGCCATTACGCTCCACAACATTAGTGGCCATGAAGCGAGAGAAAGTTGCATTTAGTGAGTTGTCAGGATGTTTGTTAGCATCTCCAGCGCTTATATTTTCTGAGATAACCAAAGAAGAAATTCTACAGCAAAGTTTTAAACCAGCATTAGCTACCGGCTGTCATGAGATACGTCTCTCACGCCGTCCATCTCCCTCTTTCATTTGTCTTTCTCTCATTCTCCCTCTCTCCCTCTCTTTGTCAAGAAACATCCTCCCCTGACTTGACATATGGCTGTCGTGTGTGTTCACTGACAAGTCCGATATGTAAACACATGTACAGTAAAACCGGGTTTAAGCGACAACCCCACGGCGCAAGCAGAAGAGGTCGTTAAAGCCAGGTGATCTTTAGAACCAGGTCGCACAGTGTCTGTGTAGAACTGTCCGTGCATTGGAAGAACGGTCGGTAAGATCAGGTGGTCGCTAAACCCAGAGGTCGCTTGCACCAGGTTTTACCGTGTAAATATAATTATATCAGGAAAGATATTACACGTGCAAAGTGAAATAATTATTTTCGATAATTTGTGTGAAAAGAGTATCCATGTCCTGTAAATAACAGGGGCTTTTGAACGTTTTGATGACCATTTTTGCTGCTTGCAATTTGCTCATGCGTCCACGAACACATCGCCCGGTGATGGGGGTGCGCCTGCTTTACGGCTTTTTGACAGGGTAGGTGAGCGT